AAAGTTTTTTTAATGAAAATATTATAAATTTCAAATTTAAAATATTATTATTATGAATACGTCATCTTTTCAAATTTAAAATTAAATTAAAATTTTAATAATAATAATAATAATTATTATTATTATTAATTTAAATTATATTATATTATTATTATTCAAACTATATCATTTTATTTTGAATCTATATAACAAAAGATTATTTAGTTTTCAAACTTTACAATAACTTATAAACTTATATTTTTAATTTAACAATCATATTATTAAAAAAATAATATAAAACATAAGTTATTGAATGAAGTAACTCTATTTATAGTTACTCTAGGTGAACTTTCTCCACATAAGAACTCATGGTCTACAATAAATTTCAACAATCCAACCGTTAAATTAAAAAATTTTAATGAATAGATCAAGTTTATAAATTTTTACAAAATTTAAAAATCATATAATACTTTGTTATATAGATTCAAAGTAACGTACAAAATATTTTTTATTAATATCTAGTTAAATTGAATTAATGAAATAAAATATTAAATATTTTTAAATTTTTTAAAAATTTGTGAACTTAATCTATACATTAGCAACTTTTAATTTAAATCATTAAAATTTAGTGCAAAACATGAATTATTAAATGAAATAAGTTTATTGAGACTTATTCTTGAAGTATGTGAATCCCTTCTCTCTCTCACACACACATATAGATATAATTTGAATATTTTTTAATACTTCATTTCATTAATTCAAATTGACATATATTCATAAAAATATTTTATGGGCCAATTTAAATTTATATAAAAAAATATCATATGATTTTCAAATTTTTTACAAATTTGTCGGCTTATTTGTTTATTAAAATTTTTATTTAATAGTTAAATCATTATCATTTAATATAGAGCCTGAATTATTAAATAAAGTAACTTTGTCCATATTTACTCTTGAAATAAGTGGTTATATATATATATAGAAAGAGAAAAGAGAAAAGTGCTAACAACACACTCTTTTAAGCACATTCTTTATTTGGTTGAAATTTTTTTTAAATACAAAAAATTGATGAGTCCCACACTTTATTTAATGACTCAATTTTGTAACTTTAAATAAATTTTATGTTAAGAGGAATATGTTAGTAACACTCTAGATAGAGTAATATAATTTTTCATATTTTTATTAACCCAGTTTCTATTTTACCACTAATCTAGTTGGAATCTCAGAATAAAGATGGGCTAGTAACGAGTAATTAACAAACAAGTCAAATTTCCCCCAACTCGCCGAACTTTTGAATTTTGTGACATAAAATGAATTTAAAAGTTTAATTATGACTGAATACTTGCATCACCAGTGCTAAATTATCATTAAAAAAATTATATTACGCCATGTAAACTCATTCATATTAAATGAGATAATGCAGAACAAAAGGCATAGTGAAATTAAACTACCTACCACTTATAAATCGCAAAATATGAATAAAACTTATAATGGGAGGGTAGGGGAGGAGGGAAGGAAAGGAACCAAATTCGGTTCAACCGATATGGATTTAGGAAAACGATATTACAAAATTCAAAAGAAAATTAATTGGCAATGTTAGTACAGGGTTACTCCGCCCCCTTTTTTCTCCCATGTGGTTTATTTTGCCACTAGGCTCTAGGAGGAAATTGAATTCAAACTTCAAAGAAAAAGTTATTTTTTTTTCCCTTCTGTTCAACCTCTTGATGGCTCCATGGAAGTGACAAGTGCTTTAAGAAAACACCCAACTACACCAGGGTGAATTTACGCAACACGGTTTTGATCAAACAGGAAATGCGAATATAAATTGGAAATTTGGATCGTGTGAACATTTTTTCGGAGGGGAGGGTTTCCACATTTAAAGCAATGAAATATAAAAAGAAAAACAGAACTTATGGGGACTTCAGATGCATTTGAATAGATGAAAAAAATGAGATCAGAGGGAAGAAAAAGGCTTTCTATATTAACTCCAGAAAAAAAAGAGAACTCTCCTTAAAAGCAACAATGCATTTCCCTCTTTTTCTCCATCCAAATATACATTATAAAATAAAACTAATAAAAGACTTAAGAATATTATTTTACATTAATATATTAAAGTTTTGTGCAAAACTAAGAATAATTTTGTCAATTACTTTACCTTTATATAACTTACCAATAATTTATTGGTTCCATCTATATAAAGTCGTATAAATCAAACTATTTCCACAAGGAGAGAAAGAGAAGCCTCTCTCTCTCTCTCTGTCAACTACATCAACTTCTTACTAATTTACCTATATATTAAAAGAAAAAAAATATTGAATTCAATTTATGTTTTCAAGACTTTAAATGCATTAATCTTTTCATCGAATACCTTTTTATAAAGAATAAAGAGGATTAATAGAAAAATATTGTAAAAAAACCTGTAACATTACTTGATCATCACTTGCAAAACTTGAGATAGTAAAACGGGCCAGCACTATTTAGGCCCACATTGTCACCAGCCTGTCAATTTTTTTTTTAAAAAAAAGTTTGTATATTTATTTTGTATACTTCTTTCAACATATTTTTTTTTCCTCAATATCTAAAGGATTCATATAAATTAATGTACCTAATAAGAAAATAAATATCAAATTATAGTTTGATTTTGCTACACAAATCTCAAATTTGCTACATACATATGTAATAATAATAATAATAATAGTTCTTTCAAAAAATTTGATGCACAAAAAATCTCAAATTACATATAATAAAATAAATCAAACACAACAAATTACATATTATTTACATAATAAACCTGATAAACTTATTTAACTTAACATTAAAATAAAAAAGAAAATTTGGCAGGCCAATAGGCATACATATCCCAACCTGCTAGTAGGCCAAGCCAACTTGCCCTAATCCGTCATTTGACTCGACGAGTTAGGCAAGTTAAGATGTTTAACCCAATCTGCTAATTTTGCCTTTTTGGCAAGCAAATAGGTCTACGTCCATTTTGCCATCCGTGGGCAAAACCAACATTCAGCCCACCCAAAGTTACAAACACTTGCCTGCAACTGATAGTAATATACTTCTACAGTTTAATAATATACCGATAATAATATGCTCACACAAAGGTCCAGGTAAGGGGAGGAGAAGAATGATAATACTTCTACAGTTTACATTCTTTTTATCATTAGGTTACACTTATGTAGATCTCACTAAATAATGGCATAGTCCCAATTTAACGGGCTTCATTTCCTATTTTGGGAGTCAAACATTAATTTCACCTTATGTGAAGAATGGTAAAAAGATGTGTCCAAATGTATGATGTTAAAAATGAGATTGACGAGTGAGTTACAAAGGATTGCCAAGATTTTACATGGTCAGGAAATATTATTGGATGAGATTCCTGCACTCAATTCTAAAGAAATTTGGGAACAATATACTGAAATCGAAAATGATAATGTTCATCCCAAAAACAATTTCCAAAGACGATAATTGTTAAAAATAAAATCATTCACAAACTTCCACATAAAAACATAAGCATTAAAAGTTTAGAAGACGGATCACGATCCTCTGCTTTCAACTCATGGATCTCAACCATTAAAGTAAAATTTTACATATAAGAAATATTAATAAAAAAATATAATTAAAACATAACCAATGATACTAGATTAAACTGCACCCTCTGCAGTTATATTTTCAACTGCAGGGATCCGTATCCTTGGAAGACTTTGATAATCATTCATAAAAGAATAATGATACTCATACGACAATTTTTATAACATCATCTTGTGTGTCTATCTTTCTCAACCATTAATAAGTGATATGATGTGGAGAGATAAGCACAAAAAATATTGTACAAGAATCATGACCCTTCACAGAATCAGAACTCAAACTTGATTAGGCATAGTAACTCTACGAGCACACCATAGACACTCCCAATATAATATAATCAAGAACTAACATTCTCTGCAGAGAAATTTATCAGAGGAAACAAATAACAAATAACATTCACCCTCCAATGAATATAACTCCCTATCCACTTAAACCCGCAAGCCCACCTCAAGATTTAGTTATAGTCCACATTTAAGTAGTAGTATATTTTGTCAGAAGAGATATTGAGGAATTATACCCCAAGTCCCTTACATTTAGCCCAACCATCATTCCTTCAATTGCTAATGACCTCCGCCAGTTGTTTTCTTCATCAAATTTTTGGTGAATTTAGATTAGTGGTGGTATGGAACTAGATGGTACTAAACAGCGGCATAGGAGATCCAACCTGTGAACCCAAGTTTTTTCTTACAGAAATGAGGATAGAAATGTTCCATCTTATCTTTGTTTAAACTTAAGCCTATGATCCATAAAGAGAGTAGAATTCAAAAAGGGACTTATGAAACTTATTATTCGTAAACTTTGCCATTCCAACCCTCCTCTCTAATGTTCTGTCAGGAAAATAAAGGCAAAGGCAAGATGTAAAGGATTAGGATAATTAACAGCCGAGAAAAAAGGAATAATTTATAAATAAATGATCAAATCATGAGGTACTAAATGTTGTATACTTTGAGTCATGTTTGAAAAAGGTTAATGTATTTATTTAAATAAGTTCTAGAAATTTATTTTAAAATAGTTTAGTTTTTAATCAAAAAGATATGTTACTTATTTTAGTCCTTTTGACTTTATCTTTTAGACCAAGTGTTATTTTATCATTTTGACTTGGTCTTTTAAGAGTCAGTTTTACTTTATTCTCTTGCTACTTGCTAGATGATCTGCTCTTAAGTTGTTTGAGAAGTTATTTTTTTTCAGGATAAATATAATAGTATTTCAGGTTTTAATAAAGCTCTCTACACGCATCTTTTCTTTACTATTCAATTCCTTTGTGAGCTCTTGGGTTACTTTCACCAAAAAATCTAATAGTTCTACTATCCCAATTACTATTAGGAAAGGTTTGTTATATTCTGAAAGACTTACACATCACGCAGATAAGTCCTTGAAAATAGTGTTATCACACATTCTTTGGTTATTAATGTTCATGATTATACAAATTCAAGAATTGGAGATGGATCATGATTCATTCTAAAGATGGACAACATGTACAACACCGATCCACTAGCCTTTACCAACTCATTTACTAACCCATTAGGGGCATGTTTTGATATAACTCCCCAAATCCCAAACCAAATCATGGTTACATGATTAATTAGTGCAATAATATGCTATTTTCAAGTGCTTATTTTTGTTCAATCAAGAGAATACTTGCTGCCATGTGTAAAACTTAGTACAAGTGTGCAAATGCCAATGCAATAATAGCAAAAACCAGAAGAAGAAAAATTCAACTAGCTTCCAAGCAGTGATGTCAAAAGTGCCAAAACAGCAACAATAATCATGATATTTAGAAAATAGTTCGACTGTAGAGGCTTATCTGGGCTTCCACCAACTGCCTCATATTCAGCACGTATCTTCTGCTTCATAGCCTCAGACAGCTCTCTCTGCAATTCAAATAGGCACACTATTGAATTTTATTCCTTTCTTCTTCATTTAAAACTTCCATATTTTATATGTGATATCACTTGATTTGAAAATAGCTTCTTCTTGTATTACTAAAAGATACTGGCACAAGAAAACATGACACTTGTTTTTACTCCTGCACCAAACCAGGAAAAGTAAACCAATGAACAATATGCAAATATATATCCTATGCTAGTCTTTCATGAAAAGGTATCTCATAAATTTTCTGCATTCAACTAAATGAATAGTAAGATATGATAAATTGTGCAAGATAAGAACCTTTCCAGAGGAGTATTTGGCTGCTACAAACTTCTCTGCCCCTATCACAATGCCCTGGCAAAGAGATCGCAAAGGAAATTCTTGGTAACTAGGTCAATTGTCATATTATTTGGACTCAAATATGCATAGACATGAAAAGAAAAACGTAGCGAAATTAAGTACACAAGAACCGAATCTCCAGGTTACCGATCACACAAGCATATCTATCTTAATTTGTAAAACACAGTAATGCTAACTCAAAATGAACAGACCTCTGGAGGATCAAATTTGGCTCCAAGGTTGCTAAGTTTTGCATGGGCTTCAGCATAATCTTTAAAGAATGCTTCCTGATCTTCGGCATATTTCTCAGCATATACCTGAATATGTCAGAGTTTTTGTTTGTTTGGCATATTACAGAAGTTTTGCATTGAATTGTAATAGCCATGAAATATAACTCTGGCTACGTTACCTTGAAGGACGGGTCTTCAAAAAGAGCAGCATCAGTTGGCAATACCAATAGATCTTCATCCTTTTTTTCTTTGATGTCCTGTATGTAACCACAGTTACAAAAAGAAAAAGGTAAATTCTAGAATACTGCCCTCTCCTCTACCACTACCTGGAAAAATATATATATTTCTGACCTTGAAGTAAGAGTTGTCAAATTTCAACCATTGAGCTGTCCAGGATTGTCCTCCAGGTGCTCCTGGCCCATCTTTCTGTAGAGTGAGAAATACATGTAAATTTCCTGCTGTTTTATTGAGTTCAAGTAACTCCATAATTGAAAGCTAGTTGATTATCAGCAAGACCACACTATCTAAAATTCAGGATAAATATGTTGGATTGTCAATGTGTTCCACTCCAAAACAGAGTAATTGGCTATAAACAAACCTTGATGTTGATGATGATGATTTTAACCATAATATGTATTTGCACTGTCCCTTGAAACTCCCTTTCATCAAGTATTCATTTCAAAGTGCAACAGAAAAACAAGTAATTGTTTTTGACAACGGGCCAAGAAAGAATTAAGCCACAAAAACCTATTTAGAGTAAGTCCAAAACTTTTATTTGTAAAGTAGAAACCAGCACCATAATCAATATTTAAATCACAAACTTGTATTAGTAAAAAAAAAAAAAAAGCTCAAGGTGAGGCATATGTGGAACTAGGGAGCCTTGAAGAAAACACTACTGAAAGTTTGGAGATTCGGGAAAATCACAGTGAGAAAGTAAGAAAATTGAATGAATCTAGAGCCTTCGAATATATGCAGCACACATTATCTTTTCATCAATCATTCCAAAAATACAGTCAAATGACTTGATGTTGTTATGTGGGAATTAAGTTATGAATTGAGATAGAGATGTCAAATAGTGGCCATCTTCTACACGAGTAATCCAAAGTTTTAACAAACAACATAATATCCTCTGCTTTTGATCATTACCTAAAGCTATCATTAGGGTCTGTGTTTAGTTCAAAGGAGGGGAGGGGATAAGAGGGATTTTTTTATTTATTTTGGGGGTGGGTGTGGACGGAAATAACTCTTTGTTTGTTTGGTTTACAAAGAGAAGGGATGGATTTTGAAAATTAAATTTTATAACCTTGTAATTTTGGATTTCAAAACATAAGTAGGGATATTTTAGTCAATCACTTGAAATGTTTTTAAATCTCTTCCCACCCCCATCCCCCCTTCTCCCCTCCATATTGGAGGGAACCAAAAATTGGATGAGGAGGGATTTTGACCCCCTCCTCTTCTAAAAATTGAACCAAACAATAATACTATATAAAAACTCCTCCACTCCCCTCCGTTTCCCTCCAACCAAACACTATTAGTGTCAATTGTCAAAAGCAATGCCTATAGTGCTAAGGGTATTACAGTATCAAATACTAAAACTAAATTTAGAATATTGTTTCAATTTTCAAAAGATTTCAAAGACTTCTACAAAATCATTTCTTCTGACTTTTGGGCAAAAAGGAAGATAATATACCGTATATTTAGTCTCAGGCTTTCCCCAACCACTGCGATCTGGTCTAGACCGCCCCAGTGTGTGTGCACCAGATAATGCAACAATTTCCTGCAGATACAGTAAATTTATGGTCAAAGTCAGCCGAAGGAACAGAATCCAATAAACTAACTTAATCCTTATGGGAAACAAAGCAAATTTACTTTGTCATTCAAACCCATTCGGTAGAAAACTTGACGTAAATGATCAGCAGGTGAAGGGGGACCAGCATCTAAATACCAACAATATCCAGAAGATAGTCAATTGATAATGTTAGAAAAAGGAAGTGTTTTCAATGTAGGATAAACTATCATAAATTAATCCACAATTATCCACTGAAAGGAACTAAAGAATGCACCATCTAAAGAGACAGAATTTTAGTTTTCAAATTGAAAACATCTACATTTACATATTGGCTATCTTCAGCAATATAAAACTTTAAAATGTAAATAGCTTGAGTCTTAATTGACTACCAATTATGGGTATAAGAATAATCTTACTGTTGTTTTCAAATTTCATAGTTGAATTCCAGTCAATGATCAATAAAATTGTATAACTGAGGCTGTTCAAAACCCAACAGGTCTGAACAACCAAATTAACTCAATTCAAATTATACTTTTGTCTGGGTTGTGCAGGTTTTGATTTATGTGAATTTTCAGCTTAGGCAGGATTAGGTTTATGTTAATAAGATTTTTTAACCAGCCTACTTAAAGCCAAGATATATAGATACCTATTATTGGTTGTGAAAGAATAATACACCAGAATGGCAGAATGCATTATTAGAAGTTAAAAAATGCAATTCTCTAATCACTTATCAGCCCTAGAAAGTAAGCTTTTCTTTTCCCTACTTTTCTATTCACTCTCAGTTTTCAAAATATGATTTAATTAGAGTCTGTTTGGATACAAGCTTAAAAGTGCTTTTGAAAACAACTTTGCTGAAAATTAGGAGTATTTTCCGGTAGAGAAACTCGTAGAATTACTACTAACTTGCATCCTAACAAATTCTTAGTCTATAACTTGGGTTTGAACTAGTTTACATTAAACTGTGGATTGTTAAACATCAATGTAACAGAATGGCAGAATGTATAAGCAATTCCATATATCTTATCAGCCTATGAAAGTTAATGCTTTTTCCATTTTCTACATCACAACTAGTTTAATATTAACTGTTAATTGTTAAATACTGGTGTAACTTAATGTAAAAGAGAAGCAGGGAAACATTTTAGAATAGTGTGTCAGGGAGTGGGTTGCTTGCATTTCTCTTTTATTAACAAATGCCTTATAAATGAATAGTTATTTGTTCCTCTCACTGTTTGTTATTCCCAAATTAACAGAAGATTTGTCAATCCACATTCTACAGCCAACTGAAAAACAAAGAGAGTTTCCTATCACAATTAAGCTCCCACAGGATATATGGTTGTTACCAGGAAGTCTCCCTTCTTCAGGGCATTGTTCAGGTCCAGATACATCCACTCTTCCATATTTCATAGGGATTTGTGGGCCTCCAGCTTCCTGAAATTCAAAAAAGTGATCAATGTAACATTCAATTAATTTAAATAGATCAACAATAGTGAGCCCTGAAGCCAAAATAGGACTGAGGCAACCTCCACAGCTGTAGCACCAGCCAACTGAAATAAGTCTGCATATGTCACACCAGAGTATTTGTCTTTGATTGGCTGAAGAAGTTTCAATGCATTTACAAGTCCTGATATACCAGTTCATTAAGGAATATTACCCCGCAAAGAAAAACCAGAAATAAGCAATATTTAATGAATCTTTACCAGCATTTGCTGCATGCTTCAGCTCAATTTCAAATCTTAAGCTACCATTAGCTCCACCTCTCTGTGGCCACTCCTCAATATTCTTATTATAAGTACCAGCATCATGCCACCCCAAGCGAATCTATCACATTGAAATCTATATAATGTAAATTATTGAAATAAAAATAAGCAAATAAAATATCATCAATGAAACAAACTAAAGTTATATGACATAGATTCAAGTCCCATGTACGGTACAAACTAAAATTACGCGACAAATATCCAAGTGTACTCAACAGGTATACATTATCAACCAAGAAGACTGTATGTTCATCAGAGTTTGACATCTTGACTATTTTTTTACATCTTGACTAGCTCAGTCATTTTGGCCACTGTAAATTTTATTCAACATCCTTGGAAACTTTAGTTCAGAAGTCAGAATTGACAAGAAATCAATACTTAACAGCCTCTTTATAAGCATCTTACACAGTTGGTCCAGCAAAAGTGGAAGACAGCAGCTTGACCAGCAAAATTGGGCCATCTGTAGCTGTTAGCAAGTCTGAAAGAACCCATAGTAATCCAAAACGTTGCAATTGCAAAGACTATGTTTAATTCGGAAGTCCAAACCATTTTCCTTATGAATATTCCAGATCAGTAGTTAGTTAAGATTTTATGCTTTGAAATATGTAAAAAAGAGGGATGTGGCCAGGTGTCTTCAGATCCCAAGCATTAGGGAAAAGTTGCATTCAGGTTGTTATATTACTACATGAATATTATGATTATGAATGAAAGGGGAACCAGAAAAGTTAATTCAGAATTCCTTCTTCTTTGTATAGGAGACCCTTTCGTTTTATAATTGGAATTTGCTGAGCTACAGCTCCTTATCACTATCTTTCTTAGATGAACGAAGAAACTATCAACATATGATGGTCAGTATGATGCAATGAATGTTCTACATCACCATATCATCGTGTCCAATTAGCTGTCACTTTGATTTTTTTATTCTTTCTAATTCTATGTGAGCTTAAAAACCAAATATATAGTAGGTTTCTAATGAGAATTATGCATCCAGTGCTGCAAGGGTGCTGAGGCTTTGCACCGCCAAGTTCGTAGTATCGTAAACAATTATGCACCAAGCAACAAGGACTAGGATAGGAACCGCTAATTAAATGTTACAGGCAGCAACTCAAACTCAACAACAAAAACACTTGAAATAACAATGTAAGGGGTCCATCTCCAAATTAACGTATGGGAGTGCTTCATGACAATTACAGTTGCGATCATTTTATTTAAAGGGAAAATCAATTATAAATGTCTATTTGGAAAATAGAAAATCCAAAACCCTAATAAAGAGAGTATGCAAGTCCATGAACAGAAGTAAACTAGACAACAACAAATAAATAAATAAATAGCAGCCTTGGAATTTGACTATTTAATGTATTAACTAGCATACGCATTGGATGATTATGCAACAATAATAGTCTCCACCAAACGAGTACGAATTTGAAAGTACCGCGAAATCCTGTGCGCTCGAATTCCATAAAATTGCAGAAAAATGAAAGCTCGCGTGCTTTTTTTTTCTTTCTTTTTTTTACTTTCTAAAATTAAAATAAAACGAAACGCTAAATCATATGCGATATACAAGCACACGGTGATCTTTGAAATGGAAAAATAATAAAAATAAAGAAGCAAACATTACCAGAATAGGATGGCAGAACTTAGACCTGAGAAGCTCCTTGATATCTTCTCTAGCGCTCTTCAACTGATCAGGATCCGACGCGAAGGACTTCGGCGCCGACACTGTTCCGTATCCTCCACTAGAAACGCGAACCTCCGCCCTCCGCTGAAAAATCGCGCGCAGGAGCTCAAGTTCGAGACGCAAACAGAATCGCATTAAAGTAATGAGAGAGGAAGAAAAGGAGGAGGCGAAACCTGATTGAGAAAGAGGTGAGAAATGCGAGGAGAGGAGCGCAAGCATTGGAGCGAGGAGGAAGAGGAGAAGGAGAAGAAGGAACGAGAAGAGGCGGAGAGCGAGGCGGAGGGAATGACGCGAGCGGAGGCGGCGCCGCCCAGAAGAGCCATCGTGGTTGGAGAGTGTTGAGATGGTAAAGGCAGTGAAGGAGGAGTGAGTAACACACGCTCTGCCATTTGGTTGGGTCGAGCTTTAATTAATATTTATATTTTTTTAATGTTTTATTTTCTTTCTTTTGAAATTTAAATATATTTGTGGGTCGAGCTTTAATTAATATTTATATTTTTTTGCTTATTTCGTTGCCTCTCCTTTCCTTTCGTTACGGATGATGATGTGGCCCAAACCAAACGCCAGTGTTTGGGACGTGATGCAGGGTATGCTTGCTTGCTTGCGTCCGTTTGTTTATATACGGCTCCAACTTCCACCTATTTGGCCCATCTCATCCCCAAGAGGCACGTCACACTATATCGCAGCCGCAGGCGTTCCCTTACGTGGGATTCAAGTGTTTGGCAAATCGTTTTACGTAATCTACCTTGTAATAATTAAACTATTATTTACCGTCAAGAAATTAATAAAACATCAATTTTTTTAAAATAAAATACTTAAATATATTATAATCTAAATTAAATAAATAAATTCTAATTTTTATTGTGTAAATTTTATTTATTTATTTATTTTGTATTTCTTTAAAATTTTGAATCAATATTTTTAGTCTCTATAATATTTATTAACTATTTATATTATATTACAAAAAAGTTAAATTATCATTACATGTAATATTTATAATTATTTGTAATATTATGTTAAAATATGATACCTTTAAAATAACATTATTTATGAAATCGAGGAAAACTTACATTTTTTATTAGATTGGATGAGATAACAAACTATAAGTTCCTGGTCAAAGGAAAGGAATTGAATAAAGTCTTTATCACTCTAAAATAGAACAAATTTGTTTTCTCTTAAGGGATGAGGACAATCAAGGCTGTAACTCCATATGTAACAACAAATGTATAAGCACATCGTTATTTATTTACTAAAAAGGTTTAGATTTTAAGGTGGATGAAAATTAATATATATATATATATATATATTATAGATCAAAATCAATATTTATTACTTTTATAAGAATTGACAAAATAATGATTTATATAAATTAAAAGCGAAGAAAAAATTATAATTAAAATTAATTCATTTTATAAAAAAAATATTTAAGTTAAAATAAGATTGTTAAAATATTTTGCAAATACTTGCAATGAATAAATACAAGGGTTTATAAATATTTCACCTTATTTTTGTGTGAACAACTGTAGTCAATAATAAGATTATAACTTAAAATTTTATGTATATTATTTAAATATTACTCACACCGCACTCTAGTAATTCTAATTATTATTTTTATTGAGAAAGTAATTCTAAACTATCAACAGTAGACGATTAAAAGTAATTGTATTCCATTAAAGAAAAGGAAAGTGATAATAAAAATAACTAATATTTAAATTTATACATTTTAATATATAAGCATTTACTTTCATATAATTAAAATTTATATTAAATAAAAATTTTAATGTATAAACTATATTATAATTAAAATTTAGTAGATAAACATTTTTAAATATATAAATTTTATTTATATTTACAATATAAAATTTAAATTGTGATTTTAACTGTTGACAATTTTTAAAAAAGTTATTAAAATGTGATATATAAATAAATACAAAAAAAAATGATAGATCAAAAGAGATGCATAGTTAAAATAATAATAAAAATATTGATAAAGATATAAGATGGAGTTTGTGTGTGTAGAGAAGAGAAAAAATATTAAGAGTTGTCTAATTAATAAAAGTGAAAATGATATTATCTATACTCTTTCAATTGTGTATTTTAATTTATAATATAAAAGTAAAAATTAAATAGCTTTTTTTCACAGTAATTTATACATTGCTACATGATTTTTCTAATTTATTAAAATCCAAATTGATACCAACAAATTTATAATTACTCACGCATATACTTAATCATATAAGTTAGACTATGTCGTCACCATACATGAATATGATTGATTATGTTTAGTTGTTTTTTGACCAATCCACCACCTTTTAGTTTTCCCAAAGTTGACGCATTGTGCAGTTTATGTTTTTTTAATTGAAAAGTTAAACAATATTATTATAAATAGATTATAAATATTTAAGAAACTAATTTAGCAATAATTTTTTAAAAAAATATGATAATAATTTAATCTTTAAAAGGTTATTTTAGCAATAAAAATTTCAAAGAATTGGCGTAATGTTATTTGTAAGTTGAAACATTTGTGCACTTGATTAATATTTTATTTTATTTTCTTCCATATTTGTATATAATTTAAACTTAAAGCACAATTAGTTAACTATTTTCCATATAATCATGTTTCTATATTTTTCTTCAAATTAAAATAGAGCATTTTATTGGAATATTTTGATTTTTTTTTCTTATATTTCTACACATATTATTGTTATTAAGCAATATTTAAAAGTTGAATCAACACTTACACTTCATTTAGACGGAGGAAAGAAATAAAATGGATTGAAATTGAGATAAATTAAAGTGAAGTGAAAATTTAAAGTTATTTAGATTGATGAAACTAAAAAAGAATGAGACAAAGCAATTTATTTTTAGTTGCTTTTGGTTAAATTAAAGGGTGAAAGAACAATAATAAAATAAAAGAGGAGGATTATAATAACATCGTAACTTTTACTAAGTAATACATTATTCAATAATTTTATATTAAATATGAATTTTATAAATTTAACAATTAGATAAAAAGTTCTTTACTCTTAGATCATATATACAAAATATATCGACTTAAACAGATTTAATAAATTTTAAACTTCCAAATAATTAAGATATCTTAATTTGTTTAACTTGTTGAAGTAGACTAATTAAATCCGATTCTTTTTAAGATAATTTTCTTGTTCAATATTTTTAACAACTCTACTTTTATTTCATTTAACTTTTTTATTTACATTATTCCTTTTTCTATACATATGTAGTATATGTTTTGTTTGAATAAAGAGTGATATATATAAAAGAAAGAAATAAGAAAAAAAATAAAAGAGAAATATGGATAGACAATTAGACATATAAAGGAAGGAAGAATTTTCCTTATACTTGTTTAGGTGAGTAAAAAATAGTAAAAATAAATGAATGAGTTACATAAAGGATATTTTTATAATAATTAAAAATATAAATTTTACAAAATACTTTCTCTTAACATTTTTTTTTCTATTTTTAGAAAAATATATTATAAATGTTTTAAAAATTAAAATTCCACTCTTTCATTTCAATTTCAATTTGAGGAAAAAATATTTTATCGCCAGTCTTACAAAAAATTCCTTCCTATTTCTCTACTTTAATAAATAATGAAAATTTAATATTTTATTCTATCTATTTATTTCTTTCTACTCTCTTATTATCTATCCATACATACAAGAGAAACGTATAAGAAGAAATTAGTGTAACGACCCGGCTGGTCGTCACACAGCACAACAAAAAGCACTACACAGAAAAGAGCATGTACATATATAAACAACTAAAATATATACACAAGGTCTAATTTGAGGCTAAGAATCAGAGTATACAAAATACATCCAGCAATGCTACACTAAGAAGCTGAAAACAACAAAAGAATAAACTCCATTTGCCAGCTGCAGACTCGCCTCAACTCACCAACCTAACCCTGCTCTGCTCTCATACATAGTATGATCATTGCAGTCCAAACCACATAGAAATAACAAAGGGTAAACTAGTGAAAAGAATCAGCATACATATATATAAGAATACATGAATGGTAAACAGCTATAGCTATCAGCACATCATTAACATACAACTCATCACATATACAGCATAAACAGCAGTAAACACACAATGCGTCGTCACGCATATCAGCTAGATTTGGTCGCTTGTAAGCGGTATAGCTCGACCCTGCCCCTATACCGTGGTCGCTTTATAATCGGTATAGCTCGACCTTGCCCCTATACCGTGGTCGCTTTGTACACGTGTGCCTTGACCTTGCCCACACACGGGACCAACTAAGTACTTAGAGGAGAACAACACAGTGACCACTTCAAGGGACAGTTTTCCAGGGAGGGTTTTCAACAAATTGGGCTCTAAGAGCACCACAGCTACCTCAATCCACACAATGGGATGAGCAATTTCAAAAACATCTCCTCTAGTCTTAGTGATCAACAGCTCAGCCTTACGGCCTACAACAGTTCAGCCTTACGGCCTACAACAGCTCATATCAGCATGCAGCACAGCACAAAAATAACATCAATAACAACATACGACACAACTTAATAATATACAGCACAACTTAAACAACTTACAACACAACAATATTATAATTCAGCATTAACGGCACAACAATATTCATCAATTTTTAGCTCAACTCAGCTTATAACAACATCTATCAGCTAACCTCAGCATATAACAACAAATACACATCCGCGCCCGGCGCACTCATGGTTGCACCTGGCGTGGCCCAACCAGAGAGTACCAGGGCTAAAACGTGCCCGGAGCAATACCAATTGCGCCCGTCGTGTTAGGAGGCAGAGACTCCAAAGAGCGTCACATGCCCGGCGTGCCAAACCTGCACTCGGCGCAGGGTAGACAGAGACCTCCCCAAGGTCTCACGCCCGACGCAATATCAATTGCGCCCGGTGCCACCTTTGGCAGAGACTCCCAAGGAGTCTCCACGCCGGTGAGACATGGTCATGCCCGGCGCCACACCAGAATCACAACAAAGTGGTTCACTGACTGATAACGCGCCCAGCGTGGTCCAATCACGCCCAGCGTGAGCCATCCAGGGGCACCCATCTTCAAGCTTGCTCGGCTCAACCAACCTTGCGCCCGGCGGGCTCGACCAATGGAGTCCTCTGTTGGTCACGTGCCTAGCGCCAAGAACTGTGCCCAGCGTGCTCTCAACCAGAAACCCTCCAACTTCGAAAATTTCTTCAAAACCTGCACAAATCACACAGCCCAAACACATGCAACCCAACCAAAATGCCACATTTTCATCAAATCGTTCAAAAATTCCAGCTTTACCCACATGCAACCACAAATCCTCAAGAATCCCCAAATTTCATCAAAACCCCGAAAAAACCCATTTTCATCAAAAACAGCCAACAATAATCAAATCGTCAAACCATCAATGAGTTCCTAAACTCATTTTCGTACAGACAGCAAGAACCCTAGCTTCCTTTACCTCGGTGAAGAATTCTGAGCTCCAGGAAGAAGAAGACAATGAAAAAGAAGAAACTTGAAGAGAAGCTCCGTACGGCTCAGCTAGCTTCCACCACTGCTACTCAGCACCTTCAGCCCAAGGAAATGAGAGTGAAAAGCAAAGTGAGAAAATGGGAGGGAGAAGAGAGTGAATCAGCCAAGTGAGTGAGAAAAGAGAGTAGAGTGAAGAAAATGAGAGTGAGGGTGAAAATTGGAAAAGAAAAGGGAAGGGGGTCTCACAATTAGTATTATTACGAGCAAAATTGAAATAAAAATTTTAAAAAATAAATAAAAGCTAAAATGATAATCAACATATTACATAAAATAGAGGGAACCACACACAGTCACACGTTTAATCGTTTACATACTTTTTTTCTCCTTCTATTTATAAACTCTAAATCCTATATATATATATATATATATATATACACACACACATGTGTGAGTGGAGCAGTCTCTTGCACAATGAATTTAATTAAGAAAATATTACCCAAAAGTAAAATACTTCCACACGACGTAAGTTTTCTGCAAATTGGGCATAAACGAGCATCAAAAAAGTACAAGAAACTACTCTTACATTTGTCAAATGTCCAATACAGATAAAGTTGTTGTATATGAAGACAAAGAATTAGCTCCTCCATGGATCAATTTTCAATTAATCATAATTTTCAATGACCAATACAGATAAAGTTGTTATATATGATGACGAAGGGTATATAAAAATCATTTGATAAGAGAACCAACAATGTACCTGATATGGCTGCAAGTGTCATGTCATCAGAATATCCACCATCTTTAAGTCCTGAGACTACACCATAACGATCTTGCCTAAAGTCATCAGCATGCATCTGGAGAAAAGATAAATAGTTAAAACATAAGTTTTCCTCAAAGCATCAACTAAGGGGGAAAAAAAAAATAATAAAAATAAATAAATAAAAGGTAAAAGCTACTTACCATCATGCACCCTCCCCACAGAAAAAATGTTTTTCCACCAGTTGCAAAGCCCATTGAACAAGGCTGTGAAATAATAATAATAATATTATTATTAATTATAAAAGTAAAAATAATATTAAACTGTTATAATTAAATCTTGTCATATATTATGATTTAAGAAAAACCTAAATGAAGAGTTATTTAATAAATTCTTAAATTAAAGTAAAATCAATTAGCAAAGTTTCATTTGAAGGTTTTATATATTTTGTACCAAATGGAAAATAAAAGAAAACACAATTTTATAACAAACATGTGGTGCAGAGATTGAAGGTATAAAGCCAGAGGAGCTTGTGTACCATATGGTATTCATAGATGCAATAACTCCCCAGGCTTCCAGATGGCAGATCAAGAGGATATCCGGTTTGAATAAATATCTGTTAAGCATCAAAGCAGTTAAGACCCTAATAAAATAATTCAGAGAAGTGAAATCATAATTATTCTAATTAAACACTTAAAAAGAATAACAATAAACAAATTTTAAGTTAGACCTCGGGGTTCTTTTCCATCTCACGAGTGAGTGCTCCAATTGATCCAGGATGTAGCCTAACATCATCATCCAAAAACAATACATATTTGCTATCTTTATGCATTGTCTCCACTCCAACCTGCCCAGATGTTAATGCTTTTAAAATATTAAATTTAATTCATAAATAATTATTAAAAAAATTAAATTAAATAAAAAGTTAAAAATATATTTAAAAATACTTTGTACAAATTCATGTTTAATATATAGTAATTAATTAATTAATTAATTAACGCAAATATATATTTATGTTCTTATAATTCTATAATTACTCGAGGGAAATTTATTGAAAACATTATATGGATGTTGAATTTTAGAATGATCATTTTGGAAAAAGATTTTACCAAACCATCTATTTCTTTACTTGAGTTGGGTTAGCAATTGCTTATGCCAAGATAATTGTTTTTGGGCAAAACTAGGGTTGATTTAAACAGGATATAAAATAATATCAATAAAGAGTCTTAAGTTCAACTTTTATCATTACCAAAAAACACAGTTCAACTTTTATTGATAATTGTTGTTTGATAAGTATTCATAAATTTTAACTATTTATATAGCATACCTTTTAAATGGAACAAATCTTTCGTTCCCAATTTTACTTGAAAAAATGAAACATAACTTATTCGTGTGAAAGGAATCTTATAAAAGCAATTCTGATAAACTTTGTTTAAGAGCTTTAAGTAAATTTCCTTTCGACAAAAGCGGTCATTGACGACAAAATTCTAACGGATGTTAGGTGTGTGTAAGCATATGCTTTTAGTCAAAGATCCAGACCCTTCCTTTTATTTGTCTGATTGTCTCCACAAAATGCCAATGTCTAAAAGATGTATATTAATAAATGGAAATGCATGCTTTGTTGAGAATGATGCGTGGATGGTAAATAAAAAACTTTAATTTAATATTTGTATTATCCAGTTTGCATAAATTGAGCTAACTTTCTCAACATAATCTTAGAGTAACTTCAATGGGAATTGCTTGACCCATCCAATATCAGTTTCTTACTATTAGAGCAGTGTGACGTGGTAGTAAGAGTTTCTTGTAGAAGAGAGAGAGTTGCTTAGTGAAGCAACAGCTTTATGAACGGAAGGAGGCGCGGTGGTGAAGCGGTAGTTGGACGGTGGAGGCGCACGGTTGGACGTTCTGTCGCGGGACCTGATCGGAGCGAAACGGATTGAAGCCGGAGCCGAAGACACTGTCGTAGACGACGGTGGATGTTTTGGACCTAGACCTGAACCTGGCGCGCGCGGCGGAGGCGTTGGTGGTGACGGTGGCATAAGGGTTTAGGCAGGCGGCATTGAAGTGGAGGAACAGAGACGACGTATGGAGGAGGAGTTGAAGTGGAAGAAAAATGAAAAGGCACTGGAAGAAGACGATGAGCTTAAAGAAATAAGAAATAAGAAATAAAAATAAATAAATAAATAATAAATAAATAAATAAAAATAACGACCAACCCACTGCCACAATACAATCTTGCTATAAATACAATATTTTATAAAATTAATTTTATTTTTCATTTTTGTAAATATATAACACAACAACTTTTTAAAATATATAAATAACAAAAATATAATTAATAATGTAATAATATTTATTTTAAGACTTTATGTTTTTTCTTATACCACGCTTAATTAATAAGTTGTAATGAAACGGAAAGAATAATGAAATTTTATAATTAACTTTCTCAGGTATTTAAATATGTATCAATTTTTTTATTGTAGTACAATTTTCTTTTTTAATAAAAATTTAAATTTAGTTCATAAATGATTAGAAAAAAAATTCTAAAAGTTAAATTTTTTAAAGTTTCTTACCATTGAAGTAAATTTATATTTGAGTTGCTTAATGCTGACATGGCACACTGGGGACCACCTTTTTCATTTTCCAATGCATAAAGCAGCTCATCTGAGTTGCTTCCATTGGAGATGCCCTTATCGAGTTGAATTTATCACATTGAACCTAAGATGTTACGCAAACAATCATCAAGGAATAGTCTCCGTATCATGTCTCACAAATCTCGAAATGTAATGATGAGAATATATATTTTCAATATATCATATAAATATGATCTTCGTGTATCAATCTTTTAGAATTAATACTGCATAATTAAGAGCAATATCTTGATTAATTAGCAAAAATATCTTTGAACATCACACAATATTATCTTTAAGTCTAGAGATAAAGTTAAATACCTATACATGAGGTATCAAGTATAATTCTACCCTGACATAATTCTTAACATAAAATTTCTCTTTGACCTGAGTGTTGGAGTGTCTTTGCAATTGCCTCCTATCATCATGGATTTTGGAGCAACAAAGACGTTATCCCATTGTATGATTTTGATAAGAATATTTGGCGTCCACTGTGGGTCAAAGTAAAACTTTCCTTTAGCAACACATGGCTTCCACCCAAAACCAAACAATGAATAATAACATGGTAGGAATCTCTACAACAAATGGCAACCTAGTCCTTGAATAGCAACCTCTCGCCTTTGCAACCATTGTAACCTTACCGTGGGACTTGGGGTGACTACCATCGCCATGGACTCGCCTACTCCACCATCCAATACCGAGCTACTACATTGAATGGAGTGTTGAATCTTACCTAAATATAAATTTTAACAATAACAAACTCTTAATTTTGAATTTTAATACAAAAGAGTTCTCATGTGTTTGCTAACAAGTTTGTTCAAGTGTTTTAGAAGGTTGTCTAAGCTTAACAGTTGAGAAGCTTCACAAGACATCAATCAATTTGTTTGAACTGCCATTGAGCATCAACAATTTTGTCTGTCCTAAGCAAAAAGATGAGCATACTATGTCTCTGTTCAAAGAGGTTCAAGTTAATCATTTCCTCCAAGAAGAAATGACTTGAAGACTTGTCACAAATGACCAACACTACTACAAAAATATGGCATTTAGCAACCACTAAAATCGGTCACTAAATTGCTAAAATCGGTCACTATTTACCTTAGTGACCGAATTTAAGTAGTCGCTAAAATCCTGGTCGCAAAGTTATTTAGAGACGGAAAAATTTTTGGTCGTTGTTTAGCGACCAAAAATTTCAGTCGCAAAATGATTGTAATGATTTTGGTCGCTGAAGTGTATGAGACTAAATTAGTGACCGAATAAATCAGTCGCTAAATATTTATTTTTTATTTTATTAAATTTTATAGACGTCGCAAACTTGATCGCTACGAACCACTCATATTTGGCCTCTCAAGGATTCTATTTCACAATACTCATATTTGAAAACTTCCTAGAAGGTCACCCATCCATATATTACTCCAAATCAAACACGCTTAACTGTGAAGTTCTGATGAGATAAGCTACCGAAAAGTAGATGCATGTTGTTAGTATAAGTAGTACAAATTAATTCATTTAAGTCATCCTCAACTATCTAATCTCATACTTATACTATCTTTTGATCCTTCTCATTTTGGTGTATCCGGACCGTTATAAATATATAATAATATATATAATAATTATATTACTAATAATAATAATTATATTATATTTAGTTAATCTTTATTTATATATATACTTAATTTTATAATTAACAATCTACTTATTCCTATTTAAAATTAATATTATGATACAATTTAAATTATTTATTATAAATTTAAAAAGTTTAAGTAATAATTTATATATTTTAAAATGAGAAGGGTTATAATAACATTGGTATAACTTTTACCAAGTATTACACTGCTCAATAACTTTATATTAAATGTGTTTTACAAGAATGAAGTATCAAATCATCTTGAATTCATATAAAATTTTGTATATATGATCTAAGAGTAAAAAACTTTCAATCTAACGGTTGAATTTATAAAATTCACATTTAATATAAAGTTATTGAGCGATGTAATACTTAGTAAAAGTTACACTGATGTTACTATAACCCTTCTCTTTTAAAATATTATTTTTATAAATTAAATTTTAACATGTTAAATAAATTATTAATTAACTTAATATATTTATTCATCTTAAATCTAAGATATAAAATTCAAAAAATGTATTTATCATTGATTTATTTTCTAATTATCAATCATTAATAAAATACTAATTTAAAATCTTATATAGTTATATCATAATATTTTCATATCAAGTTTAAAACCATATATTAGTTATACAAAAATTTCAAAATCATATAGTAAATTATTAATAAGATTCTAGTTAAATAATTTAAAATAACCAATTTTATCACACAACAATAAAGAAATACTAATAGTTAAGAAAATACATTTGTACTCTTCCTATTAGAAAGAGAGAGGATGTTATAATTCTTTTTTTCCTCAAGATATCACATCTCTTCTATCAATAAAATTTAAATATAAAATTTTATTTAAAGATAAAGTTATCATAAGTTAGAAATATATTTTATAAATATGGATCAAAATAAATAAGAAATTTTAAAAAAATCATATACTCTAATTAAAAAAATGCCTAAAAATCCAATTGTAAAAAAAATCTCTAAATATTTTTTTCACATAAATAACTATTAGTATTAATTATGTAGGAGTGCATATAAATATTTTTTTATTATAAATTAATGTCTTGCTCTTACAAAAAAAAATAAAAAAATGGGAATGATACTCAACAACAATATTATCATAAATTTTAAACAATTTATATAATTTTTTAAGTTTTATTTAGCGATCGAATAGAATTCCGTCACTAATTTTAACTAATATTTAACACCAAATTCAATTCCATCGCTAATTTTAACTAATATTTAGCGACCGAATACAATTTCGTTGCTAATTTTAACTAATATTTAGCAATTGAATTTAATTTCATCGCTAAAAAAATCAAAATTTCTTATTTAGCGACCGAATTTAATTCGGTCGCAACATTTTTTACAATTTAGTAGCTAGTTGGTCCCTAGTTCCGTCGCAACCTTTGTGTTCATGAAACACAATCAAGCAGCGACCGAAATAGTGACCGATTTTCTAGCGACCACTTATTTTGGTCGCTAAATCAGTCGCTATTTGATTATTTAGAATCGTCGCTAAATCAATCGCTAAATAGCGACTAATAAATTTCGGTCGCTATTTTGCAATTTTCTTGTAGTGACTTTAAGCCATCTATCAAAAGACTTT